GAGAACATGATTTTCGAGAAGAAAGTACGAAGTTTAACCTGTGAATTCCTGAGAATTTCAAGTGGGGCAAACAGCGAAATGTATCAACAAATAAGGCTGGACATCACAGTATAACGAAAAAAGGCATTATTTCTGCACAACACTTAGGAGATTCTATCCCACTACCGATAAAAACACTAGACAGGGAGAGAGCTGATGAAAATGGAAATTTTGTTTAACAGTTTTCAATATCAGTAAAAAAATGATAAAATCAAGGATGTGCCGAAGGCATAACGACAGCAAAACAAAAAAGAGAGGAGCACGAGGAAGTGTTAAAGTGTGTGGTACTGTGAGAAAAACCTATGCTGCATTAGTATGACGAAATGGTAAAACTGCTTTTGTAGGAATGGTCAATTAAGGAGTACAAGAATTCGATGCAAAAGAAAGAAATTTTTGTCGAAGAATTGCGAAAGCAAGCCGACATCGTTAAAAAAAAAAGTGAGATTCCGTTAAAAACGAAAGAAAATGAGTCTAAAAAAGAAAATTTATTGCTAGATGGCAGATGGTGGCGAAAATAAAAGATGCTCTGACAAGGGATTTACTTAAATTTTGAACGTGAAAGATGTTTCTCCCACACACTACAAAAAAAAAAATTGCCATCTTCATTTTTTTTTTTTGCTTCTAAATAGCAGTTACAGTATTCGAAAGGAAGGTCTTACATCGCCATCTTCAGTGGGCTTTTCTTTTTCCGGATACACGCCAGCGCGAAGGAATGATGCCTTCCAGGCGTCCACTTCATCCAAATTGCTGGCACTTAGCTCCAGCTGCTTATAGTCTTTGTAGATATTCCTGCAAAAAATGCATAAATTAGCAGCATGCTGATCATGAATCGGTGCGCTTGCTGTGCATGTGCCATCATGCAAAATGAAGCTGATCAAATGCATGTGCTGGCGGACAGTGATTAACAAATAACGAAGCCAGGTCATAATTAAGCAGTGTGGGGAAGTAAGGACAGGTAGTCTTTACTCTCTGATGTACACAACCTGCAGTTATCATAAAAAAGTAAAATTTTATGACTACTTTTTGTGACGAGCAAAGATCTAACGCATTTTTCCCAAGCAAAATCAGTTTCAAGAACTCAAAATGATCCTTAATGTACAGATTTTTAGGGAAAACGACTCCAGCAACTCGATCCAAATTGAAGCCGAGAAAAACACACCGGTCTGAGGAATCATCAAAGCATCGTCAACCTGCACTACAGCATCCCCATACAAGAAATTTTCCCGTACTTTTTCCCATCGCTCAGTTCAAAATATTCCCCTTTCTTAAATAATCTTTGCCCAAGTCACAGACCTCTTGTGGCTTCCAGCAACAATCCCTGTATACTACGACTGCAAAAA